ATCACCTGAATTACAATATTGCAACTAATGTGATACCCAGTTGCTAGTCTGGTTGGCACCCCATGTCAAACAAAAAGAAGGCGGATTCCAACTGACAGGCTGTACATATCTCAGTACTAGTGAGGCAGGTGACAGGCTGGCATGTCTAAGACTCGGAAAGGGCAAGACAATCATCAATGACATTGATCCAACCAGACTACATTGATCCAACCCCATAACTATACCAGATCAAGTAGCCTTGCTCCGAGAGTGGCTTTGAGGGCTGTACCAGTACATTCATGCGCCGCAGTTGTGACAGCGCTGAGCAACTACAGATTTCAATGCGCAAGTACCGGTACCTACCACGTGTCTGATCAACAAACTCTAGAGAAGCTGCATGGCATCGCATCGCATGGACAACACATCCCGTGACGCCAAATTCATTGAGGATAGGATATACATACTTATAATTAGAGTAAAACCTCATGACATTCCACGTCACTAGTATCTCTGCCCCGCAAAAAGCTCGAGTTGCACCTTGCTAACCGGACTGCATAAATCCCTAGCATCCCGTCCGGTTTAGACTAGCGTCCGGTATAACAAAATTTGGCGTGCGGGACAACAAGAGCACCTCATCACACCGCAACATGAGCAGATCAAAGGAAAGAAGCATATTGGAAGGCACAGAGATAATTCTATAGTTAATAAGTAAGATCTATAACGTTCTGACAGGTAAGGAGGTCGCTAATAATATTATAGGATGGGTGTTAAGCAGGCATTCTCCCTGAGAGAGAAATATGAGTCAAGGACTTAAATATTATCAGCATCTGGGTTCCAACTTCCTCTTCCTCAACTACCCCGTCCGGTTCTGCTAATTGATTTTCTATGTATATATATATTTTTTTTTCTTGAAATTCCTTGTCCGGTCCGGTTTACTATTTGTCCGGTATAGGCAATAAAAATTTGCGCTGTAGTTCCAAAATCGCCAAAGCCCGTCCGTAATAGCAAGTTTTCCGGTTAAAGGCGTTCCGGTTTAGCAAGATGCAACTGTATAGGAGCTTCATGTGAGTGTTGTAGTGGTGGGGAAGATGTGAATTATGTGTATTTCCTATTATTGAAAGTGAGTAACCATGGAATACAGAATGAGAATGATTGGTAGAAAGCAATTAATGATAAGCGAGAAGCAGATCGGCTAGTCTGGTTGAAGATCGGCTTTTGTGTAGCAATTGGGGATCGGGAGTGGCTTATAAACACTACACACATAACCACGGCAGTAAGTGGCCGGACATCTACATGAGACTGGTAGGCTCGGTTGGTTTACCATATTCCGTACGAACGACAAGGTCTTATATGGTTCTGTCACCACGGGTGGTACATACTGTATGTAACTATGTACTGTACCAACATGGATCTGTGTTGGATTCCCAAATCCATTATCTCGGGGACCGAGGGCTACAGCAAACCTCGTCAATATGGGAATAATCTACCTTTAGTGGACCTGCCTGCAAGGTTCATAGGGCTTTTGTTATTTACTAAGGCCCCAGGGTCGTGAGTTGGGGTCTTGTTCACCGGGAGGTGTTCGTTAGAAGGATGGGATTGGTTGTATGGAGCGGCTGTGCTTGGAGGGGGATTTGATTTTGAATAGGTAGGTATAGTTGGGGTAGGATGGAGATAATTCCGTTGCATTTGACTGACGAATTATAGTTTGATGCTTGCACTGGCATGGCCGCCGGCACTGCCAAGTTTGTTATCTATTCCTCCTCTTTCAGAGGTCGTTGTGCCAACCAGACTATCTATTCCTATACCGTCGTCTTTCTCTACCAATGAACATACGAGGGTGGTGAAGCGTGCAAAATGGCGCATTGCTAGGAACCTAGATGATACCCTACTGGCTATGTATGATACCCGATTAACCAGACTAATACCCGATCCCCGGCTAAGAAGTGTGCGACATGCATTGCAGCAGCAACTAAGCCAGAGGCAGTAACAACACCAACAGTTGGTCGTTAGTCTGGCTTGCACGAGCCCCTCTAGCTACCTACGTAGAGCCTCTCGTAAGGTCTGATCGAGACTGTATGAATAAGTACATATAGAGATCATGTTGCTGGTTTTTGTAGATACATACCGCGTAAATACATACTGCGTAATACATACCCACAACTATGCCTCCAAAACGCAAGTGTCCAGAGCGTTCTTCAAAGCCAAAAGCCCCTCCAAAGCCAAAGGCCCCTCCAAAACGCAAGCCTTTAGCGAGTACACACCATTAGAGCATCACGACTATGATGCAGAATCTTTACTTCCACAACAGCCAACTTCCCCAATCGAGTGCTTTAGCCACTTTTTTACCGAGAAGCTCTTAGACCTCCACTATATCGGAGACTCTAGTAAAGCATACCGACACTTATGGAGGCGGCTATTATCTATGAAGGATGTTCCACCAGCTAACACCCCAAAACGCTCGAAGGGACTGGATGCAGATGAGTTGGCAAGGCAGGCAATGTTACACAGGGTAACATCATTTGCAAAGGATTTGGGATTTCGGTCCAGAAGAATAGACGAAATCCTAAACGGCGATATTTGTGACCTTATTGCTAAACACATCATTCGCTGGTTTTGTGGATTGATGTGTGAGGTTGGTGAACGAGAGATGATGGGTGGCCAGGCACACACTCTTGCAGAGCACTTAAGAACGATTCAAACCGAGCCAGTCAGTTGCCGAGCTGACATCATAAACATGGATGCTGCTTCAATACCCCGCTTGTGTGGTTCGAAATTATGGGGACCGCACATTGTAGTCCGAATGGTCATTCCTCCGGAAGTAACTCGCACACCATCTGCCAGAGTCACCCATGTCTTCATGAGAGAAGCAACATTCCACCAGTGGTTTGGTTAGCAGGCGGAGGAGGAAGAGGAGAGTGTGATGCAGGTAGATGAAGAACAGGAGGCGACGCAACAGGAGGAACTGGCGAGAGGGAGGCAAGAAGAGGAGAGGAGGCAAGAGGAGGAGAGGAGACAGGAGGAGGAGGCGAGGAGACATGTGACAATCTGGGAGGTTCTTCGGGATGGTACCAATGCATACTATACCTCCAAATATACTACAGCTGCGGGGCCTAGTGAGCGGGGATGGAAGCCAGTTACTGTTAAAGATATGAAGATATGGATAGGGCTTGTAATTTTTATGGGTATTGTTGATTGCTCAAGTGTTGAGGACTATTGGGGAGAAGGCACACGACAGAAGCCTATGGAGGCAATGGGGCTGAACCGATTTGAGCAAATACAGCTATATATTCATATATCTCTATCGGTAAAAGCAAGAGCACCAGCATCACCAGCAGCACCAGCATTCCCAGCACCAGCGTCCCCAGCACCCCCAACGCCAGTGTCCCCAGCACCAGCGTTCCTAGCAGTGTCAGCACCAGCATTGTATATGAAGGTTGAGCCAATAGCATCTATGCTAGCAAATAGCTTTAGATCAGCATATATGCCATCAAGTAATTGTTCAATTGACGAGATGATGGTACGTTTTACGGGGCGTTCAAAACATACATTAAAGATGCCGAATAAGCCAATCAATGAGGGGTATAAAGTATATGCTATATGTGATCATGGCTATACATATGGCTTTGAAAAGCAGGATAAGGACTGCACATTCATCCCAGCTTCCAAGGGCAAAGGAGGTTTTCTATCCTGGCATTCTACACCTAACTAGAGATATGTGGTTATGGAGAAGGAGGTTGATGCCTCGGAGGAATTTGAATACCCGCGGAGGAGAGCTCTCATCCACCTTCCTCCATGCTACCAGAACAACTACTCTAGAGTTGATGGACCTTCAGGCACTATCAAAATGTCTCTACCACCTCCACGGCCAGTACTATCTCCACAGCCTTCATCGATACTACCTTCGCTTCCAGTACAATCTCAGCTACCTCCGCTAATGCTTCTTCCGCCACCTCCACCGCCTCCCTCAATTTCTCTTACTCCAAAATCCTCAATATGCTTGCGACTAGCAAAGCTATTACTATACCACAAACATCAATTTAGTATATATTTTGACAGTTTTTTTTAGTAATACTGCATTATTTACAACCCTTCCAGAGTTGGGTATTGGTGCTTGTGGTACTGCGCGCAAAGCTCAGCTTCCAATTGAACTGCAAGCATATGATGATAATAAGAGTAAGAATGTTGAGTGGGGTGACTTAAGCTTCACTTCCCAAAGATAATGTCTTATGTGCACGGTGGCATGATAATGCTGGTGTTTTTAATATGACTACAATTCATGATCTTAATGATGGTGTAACTAATCGAAAAAGACCCAAAAATGGCCTTCCTGCTGTTCGTGAAGTGTTTGGTCCTAATGTGCGCAAGCTGCTCACAATTCCACTCATGATTAATGATTTCAACAATCATATGGGGGGGTAGATATTGCTGATCAGTTGCGATCATACTACTTATGTACTATACAGCTACCAAGTCGCCGTTCATGGCTGCCACTCTTTTACTGGCTATTGGTCACCGCACTTGTAAATAGCTACATTCTGTATCGTATGTATGGTTACAGAAATCGAGGCCTCACTCCACCAGCGCTAATGGGTGGGTGGTGAATCTGGGCGAGTGGATAAGGCTGCGGAGGCAATGCCGTGACTAAAACCTGCATAAAGGTTTGGTTGTCTGGTCATATAATTATATTTCCTCAAAGGTATCGATGTGACCGGTGCAGATCGAGGGTATGCAGGAAAAAAAAAGGTTATGGGGCCAGGGCCAAAAGAAGATGGTACAACTTGGCTGCTCTCGGTTCTCGCGGCCGACTAAAAGGTGGGAGCTGGGGTTGGATTAATCGATTTGGATTAGGTGTGGACTGAAAGGGATATTTAGTGTATATGCCTAATGTAATGTTTTGCTGATGCTATATATATCAAAACAAAAACTTTACTTTTGTTTCGGACTACTATAAATTGGAATTTGCCAATACTAAGGAAGGCTGGGTGTATTTTGAACTCCTATGGCCCGAAAAGAATATGCAACGGTCCTAGAAAGACTCGAACTTTCAACCTCCCGGTATATTTAATCTCAAACTCAACCTAAATCTCCCACCATTCAGAATGAGATGTTTAACAGCCGGACGCGCTAACCAATTGCGCCATAAGACCTATGTACGAGAGGATGGCTGGATTTGGGGGCATCTGTCTTTCAGAGTATTTTTGTGGTATGAATATATACATATACAGAAGAAAACCAATGGGGTAATGCGACGGGAAATGAGTGTTTTAGACTGTTTTCTGCTGCGTGGAATAGGGGATCTGAAGCGGAGTTTTCAGGGTAACAGCAATTAACTAAGTAGGATGCTATACTATGTCACGTGCTCACCCGACGATGCCAAGATTTCAAGTTTTCTTATCGATAAGGTAAGTGAGTTACCGTTCTTTATGCGCTCGAGCTGTTGATCAAGCTTTCATACCTCCTGGAATCTGTGTTTAGATGTTCCTAAGATCTGCTACGCAGCATGTGCGCAGGAAAAGCTGGCCAAGCTTAAGTTCCGCCAGGACGCTACTAACGAGAAGTCCTATTACCACGGGAGGGCTTGGGCGTCGGGTTGTGTGGCTGGAAAATAGGGATTCAAATCAGGTATGTGAAAACTGGATGTGTTTCGAGCAAAGATGGGAGAGGAGGAAGAGTGGGAGGTTACAGCCTGGGATACCCTGGAAACGATGGATGAGTACGGAAAAAGATACATCTGCAACGTCAGAATTTTCCTGCGAAGACGTAGTCATGGGCAAGAGCCGCGGTGGTGCAATAATGGGCATACGGTATATTTGTCTATCAGTCTACCCTGAACCATACGAGATATTAACCCCTTCCTCTAGAGTCTTCCGCCCCCCTCGGCCAACGAGGGCTTCTGAAATTCCGGTCATGATCTTCTATCCTAGCGGACTTCCAGTATATATACCCCCCAATAGCTATAACGATGAGAATATTGGACCTTTATTGATTACAGAAAATGACCATACGACTGCAGCGATTTTGGCAATGTCGTCAAATCATACAGTGGTTGTGCCGGGGTATTTTATGGGATCAAAACATATATCTGAGCAATTATACCAGAAGAAGAAAGAGAAGGTAGAGGCGGAGGCGGAAGGAAATCGTTATGATTGGTTTGAAGAGGACTATGGAGATATCGATGAATTACATATTGGTGGAGATTCAGCTTATGCATCTATTGGCGGTCCTGTGGAAGGGGTGGAAAACCCAGGCGTAGAAAATCAATATAGTTGGTCTGAAGACTATGGGGATATTGATGTTGCCGGGAAGGCTGTCCATGACATGGAAGCTGATGGAAGTGGGTTACATATTGGTGGGGTTTGGGCTGATGCAGCTACTAGCAGTACTATGGAAGAGGTGAAAGATCATTATGATTTCTTTGAAGAGGACTATGGGGATATCGGTGATTCCCTCGGGAAGGCTGCCCATGGCATGGAAGCTGCTAAAAGTGAGTTTCATAATGGTGGGGATTCAGCTGATGCAGCTGCTAGCGGTATTGTGGCAGATGTAGCAAGCCCAGGTGGTGGATCAGGATGGGTATACCCTTACCCGAAACATCCCATCGCAGGACATCTTGCTCTGAAAGCATATGAATTTATCCTCCAGAGCTTACCAGCACTTCTCAACCTTCCCCCGGATAGTATCACACGAGGAGTCTCGTTATCTATGTCTGGGAGTTTAGTTGGTGCAGGTCTTGCCTCGTCGATTGCTCTATCAGAGTTCAAACACCCGCCGTTTGCTACAGGGGTAAGGGTGGAAACAACTACTTTGGTACCACTTAAGAAAGTAAAAAAGCAAGTGACATTGAACGTCGAGCTGAAGAGTCTCGCGCTCATAACACCATTAATAAATTGGTGTTTTGAGCCACTAGGGGCTTACGATTTCGGTGCAGACCAGCAGGGCACGGGGGAAGCATGGCTACTACCTCCTGTACCGCCACTATCTCACCTAGAAGGAGCGGCAGAGACAGAGCCAAAGGGAGGCCCATATTTCCTCCCTGCACCAACACTCCCTACCCTCCTCCGCCTGCGCAGTGCATATTTCAAATCCCCAGAAGATTACATCGATCCCTTCGCCTCTCCGCTATTTTTCATGCAAACCCCTGGACTGGATGTTGGAAAGGATGCTCTAGCGAAGCTCTGGGTGAGTTTGCGGCAGCAGATGTGGTTTCAAGGTGCTATAGAAAGAGCCAGGGCGCGGAGAACAGGGGAGAAGGTGGAGAAGCCGCCGAGTATTGATATCATTACAATTGAAGGCACAAAGAGGAAATCTGTATGGAGGAGATGGCCTCCTGCGTGGGGCAAGCTGCAAATTGATGGTATTCTTGAAACTAGGCGAGGGGGGTTACCGCAGAAGGGGAGGATAAGAGTTATAATACCTGGGGAAGGCGAGGATGAAGATGGTAGTGAAGTTATATGGAGAGATGAAAACGTGAAGCAGCCACCACAAAAACGGAGACCTCTCGACCTTACCCCCGCTACAAAATGGCCTTCTAAGTCTTCCGCTCCAAAGCCTCCAGAGCCTTTATCCTTTCCCTCGACACTCACTGATCCTAGCGCCGTAACCCAACGCAAGAAACCATATATCATTGCCGAACACGCCGAATATGCCCAAGACCACACACCCGTCGACAAATATACTCACTCCCCAAACACCATCTCCCTCCTCAAGAACTCCTCTTGCCTCCTCTCCCGCATTACCTCTCCCCCACTGTCAACCCTCTCTGCAGGCTGGTGGCTCGTCAGTCAAGCAGGGGATTTCGTCGGCGGAATCGAGCGGTCGTGGAGGAGTGTTGTTAGTGCTGACCGCGATCTACGAAGAAAGCTTGAGTTAGAGCGGGAGGAGAAGGAGAAGGCGAGGCTGAAGAGGAAACGAGAGATTATGGGGTCGAGGGGATTTTTATCGCTGGGTAGAAAGGTGAAGAAAGAGGAGACGGTTGTGGAGATGAAGTGGAAGAAAGAGGTGGTAGATGAGGAGGAGGAGAAGGAGGAGAAGGAGGAGAAGGAGGAGGTGTTGAGTTTGTTGGAGGTTATTGGGGGCTCGGAGAGTATGAGTGAGATGGGTGAGGAGAAATTAAAGCAGAGGATGGTGCTGGAGAAGGATGCTGTGGTGAGGCTGGGGAAATGGGTAGCGGAGGTGCAGAATTTGTCGTAATAGTAATTATATTGGGGTGGAATGATAATCTCTCCTCTGGCACTGAATAATTAATGATTCGAGTGAACAACCCACCAGTCATTAAAAGAATGGAGAAAGCTATCGTAGAGATAAATATTATGGGCGTGCGAGTGACTTTCCATGATATTTGCCGGCGGGAAGTATGTATACAATAAGAAATCGAAAGATGGTTAAATATAGAAACAAACAAAGCCACTATTTCATGCCACCTTCAGTCGCCCCCCTCCAGCGAACTCAGATCTCGGGACGTACAGCATCCCTTCTGTAAGGCAAGAGAGAACTACATTAGTATGTACACAGGGGTTTAAATCAAGACACGTTAGTATGACTATTTGTGTTTAATGGCAGTGATACTACCTACCTACAGAACGCTGCTTTGCGGAGTGGAAATGGCCCAGGTCTAACGGCCTGTAGCACCAGGCTAACCGGCGCCGAGGTAGAGCATTACTAGCTTCAAATTCCCCCCCGGATAAGCTATATTCTATATTTGAGGAACAAAAGGGGGACTACAGCAGCAGAGGAAGAAGTAGATAGAGAGAGGGAGAGAAGTGGCAAAGGAAGGAGAGAGACACAGAGAGAGAGAAAGAGAGAGAGAGAGAGCGAGAGAGAGAGCGAGAGAGAGAAAGAGAGAAAGAGGAGTGGATAGATTTTTATTGCGAGAATAACTCCCAAAGCAATTCATTGACTTTTTTTTTTTTTCCTGCTGAATACTATTTTGAGTATTTATAGTCTGAGGAGAATATATAAGAGGGGGATATATAATAATAATAATAATAATTTTTTTGGGAGAGGAGGAGGAGGAGGAGGAGGAGTAGGAGGAGAAGGGGGGAATTGAGAAATTTTTTATATCTTTTCTTGAAGTTTCCTTTCTTTTTGAGACGCATTTGGGCACCCCCCACCTGATCTTACGTTCCCAAAGGCCATAATTGAACTTTTTGTATATTATTAAATAGGTTGCAGAAGATAGTTATGGGATAGATATCACAGAGTGCAGCTACTAGACCAGAGCTATTGAATATATCTATATAAAACTACAAGTTGAATGCTACTTCTGAAGGTAAAACTCCTGTCTACAATTGGGTATTTATTATAGTAACACCATATGTTTCCCTGATCAAAGAGATCAAAATAATTATAAACACTCTTGATTATTATGAGTAAAGAAACTAACCTCATACCTTATCTGATCACATTTCCTTGGATTCTTGCAGTACAGCTATCCTTGGAGAGTAAGATATTCTGTATAGTAAAGGGGATGCATCAGGACCTATAGGATGATTGAGGACCAGTATTCCATTGTGCCTCTGAAGAATCGACTGCTGTTTTGGTTAAATTATCATTCGGCTAAGTAAATATAGTTACTATGAGATTATAAAACAAAATTGAAGGACTAGGATAAGAGGTCACAGTGATGGAGCCATAAGCCAGGTGTCATCTGAGAAAAGGTATGATTATGATCCCCTTCTCTGTCTCCCTTCTCCATCCTCGAGGAAGCCCCACTTATACTATGCTTATAGTGATTAATCATCCCTAGCATTGCCACTAGGGGAACTTGTTTCTTCACCTCCCCTCAACGCTGGGATGATATGAAAAAGAAAACATGAAACGAAATATAAAAAATAATAAATAAACCAGAAGAAATACCTATTCCTGAATCCTTCCTTATAAACTTCTCCTAGAAGCCTCTCCTATTTCCGAAACCTCCCCTGATTCTAGACCTCCCTTTAGCGACTTAACTCTCCAGAGTACGTTTTCGAGGCCCTGCTCACAATATTTAGTACCTCATATGCGTAAGGAAATGCATGTGTACAGAAGCTACACATAGACAAGTTGGGCCTGAAGGCTCCTATGTGCACAGAGGCTATAAGTTGGTGGTAGTTTGGGCACAAAGGCTCCCATGTGCTCGCAGGTTATACGTTGGCAGTTGTAACATATT